CCGGGGCAGACGCGTTCTGCAGCGGAGCGGAGGATCAGGCCAGGCAGGGCTAATTTTCCGGCATCGAGCCGACTTCAGGGAGCCGCTAGGACCCGGCAGCCCTCGTGAGGGAGGCTGACGAGGCGAAGGCGGAGCCAGCAGCGCCCCCTCCCCGGCCGTTCAAAAGCAGCCCCTAGGGAGCGCGAGCGACCAGGAGCGCGGCGACCAGGACGGGCAAACAGGGCGTGGCGCGTCAGAGGGGAGTGGCGCGGCAGTTCGCGCGGCAGTTCGCGCAGGCAGGGCGGAGAGCAACCCCCGCCCACACAAACACCTGTTAACGACAGCCGTTAGCTAGGTGATAATGGTCTCCACCAGGCACGGCGCGCTCTCCAGGAAGTCGGTATACGCCCAGACCGACTGCCCGTTAAAGAATGCAGCGGTTCAGGTCACCGGATGCAGGGAGTGTCAGAGCCTGCTGCTGCCATCGGCGGGAGGCAGAGATGCTGCGTGCGTGAGGTGCGAGCAGGTGGATGACCTGATCCGCATGGTGGCGGAGCTCAAGGAGGAGGTAGAGAGGTTGAGGGCCATCAGGGAGTGTGAGCGGGAGATAGACTTGTGGAGTAACTCCCTGCAGGGCCTCAAGGAGAGGTACCGGGGTGAGACACCCCAAATGGGGGTGGACCCCCTGCCCTGTCGCCGTCGGGCAGAGGGAGGGGATCTGGGAGTTGAGGAGGAATGGAGACAGGTCCCTGCTCGACATGGCAGGCGATGCCCTCCCCTTCCGGCCCCACCTTCCCAGGTGCCCTTACGGAACAGGTTTGAGGCCCTGGAGATTGAGAGACCAGCAACTGAGGAAGAGGTAGCAAGTGTTCCCAGGAGGATGCCTAGGGCGAGGAGGTCGACTCCATGCCTCAGGACTGCCTCCACCAAGAAAGACAGGACGGTGATTGTTGTGAGAGACTTTGTCCTTAGGGGAGCAGAGGGCCCTATTTGTCGGCCTGACCCTACCCGTAGGGAAGTCTGCTGCCTCCCTGGGGCCAGGGTCAGGGACGTTGCCAAGAAAGTCAAGCGCCTGGTACGGCCCACTGACTACTACCCGCTACTGGTCTTTCAGGCTGGTAGCGATGAAGTAGCAAAGAGAAGTCCGAAGGCAATCAAAAGAGACTTCAGGGATTTGGGGCGACTACTTAGAGGATCAGGCGCGCAGGTTGTGTTTGCCTCTGTCCTTCCGATAGGGGGGATCGAAGCAGAAAGGTGTGCTGTTCACATAAACTCGTGGCTTCGAGACTGGTGTGACCGGCAGAACTTTGGGTTCTTTGATCACGGGAAGGTCTATGCTACACCGGACCTGATGGCACCGGATGGGAAGGGCCTCTCTCGGAGAGGGGTAAGGATCTTTGGTCAGGAGTTGGCAGGGCTGATAGATAGGGCTTTAAACTAGAGTCGAAGGGGGAAGGGGCTAAAACCAGGCACGCCGGTGAAGACCTAAGGGATGGTATGCTAGAATCAGAGGGGCTGTGTGCCAGTGAGATCCTTCGGTTAGATCCACAAGGTGCTGAGTGTAAGGAGACACACCTGAAATGCTTCTACACGAACACACGCAGTATGAGGAATAAAATGGATGAGCTAGAAGTCCTGGCCCAGTCCCGCAACTACGACATCATCAGCATAAGCGAAACCTGGTGGGATGAGTCCTGTGACTGGGGTGTTGCGATAGATGGTTACAGGCTCTTCAGGAGGGACAGGCAGGGTAGGCGAGGTGGTGGGGTGGCGATGTATGTGAAGCAGGGGCTGGACTGTGTGGAACTTCAGGTCGGCGATGGCAAAGTTGAGATCCTCTGGGTAAGGATCAAGGGACGAACGAATAAAGGGGATGTCGTTGTGGGAGTCTATTACAGACCGCCTGGCCAGGACGATAGCGCCGATAAATTATTCTTTACAGAACTAAGAGAGGCCTTGAGATTAACTCCCCTTGTCCTTATGGGGGACTTCAACCTGCCAGACGTTAACTGGGAGTGCCACACGGCTGACACGAGCAAGTCCAGGAGGTTCATGAAGCACCTAGATGATAACTTATTGGTGCAGGTGCTAACGGAGCCAACTAGGAAAGGTGCCCTCCTAGACCTGTTGCTAGAAAACAGAGAGGGTCTGGTGGGAGATGTGGTGATCGGTGGCCGCCTCGGTCATAGCGACCATGAAGTGGTTGAGTTCAAAATTTACGGTGACAGAAGGAAAAGTGCCACCAAAACCTCATCCCTAGATATGTGGAAAGCGGACTTCAGGCTGCTCAGGGAACTAGTCAGCAAGGTCCCCTGGGAAGCTGCTCTTGAAGGCCTCGATGTCCACCAGTGCTGGTCATTCTTTAAGCGATGCCTCCTAGAAGCACAAGATCAGGCAATTCCTAAATATCGCAAGTCAGGCAGGCGGGGCAGGAGGCCGGCGTGGCTGACCAGGAACATTCTGATGGAGATTAGGCGGAAACAGAGAGTGTTTCGCTACTGGAAGGAGGGCCGGGTGTCATGGAAAGAATACAGGGATGCTGTTCGTGTTTGTAGGGAGAAAATTCGTGTGGCCAAAGCACACCTAGAGTTGAAGCTGGCTGTGTCTGTGAGAGAAAATAAAAAGGGTTTTTTTAGATATGTGAATGGAAAAAGGAGAACTAAAGAATACATAGGGCCGCTCCTTGATAGGGAAGGTCTCCTCACAGACAATGACATAGGCAAAGCAGAGACGCTTAACGCCTTCTTTGCCTCTGTCTTCAATGCCGATGATGGGCTTCGGGACCCAGGGTGCCCTGAGCTGGAGGACCGGGACGGTGGGGATGACTAACTCCCAACCGACCCTGAACGTGTGCGGGATTTGCTACTCCACCTGGATCCCTACAAGTCCATGGGTCCGGATGGGATTCATCCCCGGGTGCTGAAAGAGCTGGCGGACGTCATCGCGGAACCTCTCTCAATTATTTTTCAACGATCCTGGGAATCTGGAGAGGTCCTGGTAGACTGGAAGCTGGCAAATGTTGTGCCGATTTTCAAGAAGGGTCAGAAAGAAGACCCTAGCAATTACAGGCCTGTCAGTCTCACGTCAGTGCCTGGTAAAATCATGGAGAAGATGGTTCTCGAACTTATTGAGGCGCACCTGGGGGACAAAGCAGTCATTGGTCCCAGCCAGCATGGGTTTGTGAAGGGTAGGTCCTGCCTAACTAACCTGATTTCCTTTTATGATAAGATCACCCGTATGGTGGACCAAGGGAAACCAGCTGATGTGATTTTTTTGGACTTCAGCAAGGCTTTTGACACGGTTTCCCATAGGATCCTACTGGACAAAATGTCCACCATACAGCTAAATAAAAACATCATACGATGGGTGAGCAATTGGCTAACGGGCAGGGCCCAAAGGGTTATGGTGAATGGGGCTGCGTCAGGCTGGTGGGCGGTCACCAGTGGGGTCCCTCAAGGCTCCATTTTAGGGCCGGTACTTTTCAATATTTTTATAAACGATCTGGATGTAGGAATAGAAGGTATTTTGAGCAAGTTTGCTGATGACACCAAACTTGGAGGAGTTGTGGACTCTGTTGAGGGTGGAAAGGCCTTGCAGAGGGATCTGGATAGGTTGGAGAGCTGGGCGATCACCAACCGCATGAAGTTCAATAAGAGCAAGTGCCGGGTCCTGCACCTGGGACGGGGAAACCCTGGCTGCACGTACAGACTGGGCGATGAGACGCTGGAGAGCAGCCTAGAAGAGAGGGATCTGGGGGTCGTGGTAGACAGCAAGCTGAATATGAGCCAGCAGTGTGTCCTGGCATCCAGGAGGGCCAACCGTGTCCTGGGGCGCATCAAGCACGGCATCGCTAGTAGGTCAAGGGAGGTGATTGTCCCGCTCTACTCTGCGCTGGTGCGGCCTCACCTCGAGTACTGTGTGCAGTTCTGGGCACCACAGTATAAAAAGGACATTAAACTGTTGGAGAGTGTCCAGAGGAGGGCTACGAAGATGGTGAAAGGCCTGGAGGGGAAGACGTACGAGGAACGGCTGAGGGCACTGGGCCTGTTCAGCCTGGAGAAGAGGAGGCTGAGGGGAGACCTCATCGCAGTCTACAACTTCCTCGTAAGGGGGTGTCGAGAGGCAGGAGACCTTTTCTCCATTAACACCAGCGACAGGACCCGCGGGAACGGGGTTAAGCTGAGGCAGGGGAAATTTAGGCTTGACATCAGGAGGGGGTTCTTCACAGAGAGGGTGGTTGCACACTGGAACAGGCTCCCCAGGGAAGTGGTCACTGCACCGAGCCTGTCTGAATTTAAGAAGAGATTGGACTGTGCACTTAGTCACATGGTCTGAACTTTTGGGTAGACCTGTGTGGTGTCAAGAGTTGGACTTGATGATCCTTAAGGGTCCCTTCCAACTCAGGATATTCTATGATTCTATGAAAATGTGAATGGTAAACATCAGAAAGTAGTCCAACTGGAAACATCTTCCAGTACTATGAACATATATGTACAATCGCACATTTTCATAAATCCAAATGAGAAACTGGTACAAAATGGGAAAATACAAATTAACAGATACAGAATTAAGCCTGATTTTTATTTGGTTGTGAGAACCTCTGAGGTAACACTATACTACAGATGATACTTCTTGGATTTCTCCCCCACCCTCAAAAGATTTCATAGCTGTTTCATTCAAAAAAGGCTGAGAAAGACCGCGCTGAATAAAAAAAAAAAATAAAGTATTGAGAAGATTTATAAAGTAATCTGTCAGAAGAAATTTAATTTGTAGCCTTTTGGGCTAGAAAACTCTTTGGCTTACAACCTTCAGAGAAAAAAATAAAGAAAATGGAAGTTTTGTTTTCATAAGCACACAATGTAATATTTAAAAGTCAAAACTATCGCTGTACTTTTTAAAGTGTTGTTTTTCCACTCTTAGCTTTGACAGAGCCAGGAGTTACCTAGTTAAAACAGGCCGTAAAAATGGGCAGGAAAAACAGCAACAAACTGAAATTCACTCTTCACTACACAGCACAAAAATCACAGTCACAGTTTCATATTTAATGTGGAATCACTTTAAGTATACAGTATTTCAAAAGATCCAGAAATTAGTTAAGAGATAAAAGCCAGCAGAACAAAAATACAGGAAATCCAAACTACATCTTTGACCTTTTTAATCCTAAATTTGAGGGTCACATGCCTGAATAGACAAGTTTTAACTTTATGAGGAAAGAAACTTTGTATGGAGTTAAACTAGCTACGTGAATAGCACCTGTAGCTTTCAAAATAAATAGTAATGGCTAACTAGACACCATGGCAGCAAGATAGACTCCTATTAAAAAAATAAAAATAAAAATAAGGACAAGCACGTGTTTGGAAGCTATGCCTGGACAACAGAAACTACTGCAATTTTTTTTTAGTCATTTTAAAGCACACATTAATTATTCTATTTCTGACACTGAAATTATTTAAAAAGTTTTTCTTAACAAGATTGCTTTCTCTTTATTTGCTAACCATTAATATTCACTCCTTTTAAAATTGCACTCTGATGCTTGAAGAACATTACAATTTAAATAAATTAAAATATTAAAATTTTTCTTTAAGACCCTCTATTTTCTAAAATATTTTATTTGCATTGTATGGACCCATGCTGTTAGCAGTAGGTGTTGCAAGACAAAAGTATCCCCCTACTCCAAAACTTGTTTTATTAAAAAGGTCAAAGATAAATTAAACCACAAAAGTTTTTAAAAAAACACAGAAGTTTTTAACAAATGGTATCAGAAATGGTTTGGCAGGGGGGTTGGACCCGATGATCTCCTTAGGTCACTTCCAATCCCTACAATTCTGTGATTCTGTGAAATGACAAATGATCTTTGTGATGGCTGATGCTCTCATACAGCCTGTGATTAAGTAGATACCAGAATGTTAGTCTATGTTATCTATGTTTTATGGGTTTGCAACAAAGTATAATACACATTGAACAGAATAAGTGAAACTTCAGTTTCCAGTATATAATGAATTTAAGTCATTTAATAAATTTTAGCTTTTGAGTGTTCCACTTCAGTGCTGTTACAATAAATCACACCTGCGTATCAGAGCATATATCAACAGCATGATGTAACTTTCCTTACACCACTACTATATTTAGCTTTTTGAAAGAGACATAAGCATACACTATAGCCACATCAAATAATTTTCTGTTTTTTTTGGTGGTGTTTTTTTTTGTTTGTTTGTTTTGTTTTTTTCTTTGATAGCCTTCTATTAGTAATACTTCACTTTTAAATTTTGATTTATTGAAAAAAAAATCACAGAAATTTTATACAGGAATAGCTATAAGGAATAACTTACAGGCACTGATATGACAAATATCTATTTTTAAGGTCTAAGAGGCATTAATATTATATTGACAAAGCTGATTGAAAAGAATGACTAACTTTGTCCAAATAGGAAATGCCCGTTTCTGCTTATATATTAAGAAATTCAGAAAGTTATTTTTTGGCCTTGCTATGTCACAAAGTCTATCATACAAAGAACTACACATTTAACCTAAAATGATAGTTTTAAAAGCCCTTCTATTAAAAACAAAATCATGCTAAACTTTGATCAATTATGTAGCTGCTTTAAAACTGTTGCAAGACCATAATGTATATATTAGCTTTTATACTGCTAATGCAAAACTAACAGCAAACTTGATTAGATTAACACAAATTTGTTTTAATTACACTGTTATATCACACTAAGATGACAAATGCTACAAGATTGGCAAAAGCATTTAATTCTGAGCACTCAAATGGCAGGCTAATTCTGTTGTAACCCCTTCACATTTAGGGAAAAAAAAGTATAATCCTGCAGTCTCACTTTACAAAAAAAAGTTCTGTAAAATATTAATTGGGAGAGGAACAGTTTATACTATCTAACACAAAGTAACTTATACAACTAGTGTCAAGGGCAAACAAAAAAACCTTCTAAATAAAATGTCAAAATACACATAGCAACAGAAGCAGAAATGCTGCATTAAATACAGTCAAGATAAGAAAACACACTTGTTAATAAAAAAGGTCAAAAAAGAAGAAAAGTTACTGAAGTTAGCAATACATTTAAAGGAAACGCAATGGGGGGAAAAAAAAATCAATCTATTTTCCCCCCAATGACAGTTTCCATTTGTAGTCTTTCCATCCATAATTTGTGTGATACAGCACATCCATTACAATGTTCAGAATCTCACAGAAAAGCTAGGTTGTTCTAATTCCCAAGCTGGTTTTGGATGTTTTAAACAGACATTATTATGAAGTAAAAGCAAGGCAACAAATGGACTTTTTATCACCTTCAATCTTAGCATAAATGAAAAACTTTTTTTTTTTAAAAGTTATCATAATCTTTTTTGTCTTTTTTCCCCTCTGCTTCAAAGCCATCAACCCCATCACTGTCCCTTCTCCTTTTACGATTGTTATGGATGTTGAAGCGTTGATTCATCTGTGGTAATGGATCCATTCCTAAAACTTTGTGTATTTGACGGAATGCAAGGAGTCTCAATGCAAACTACAAAAAGGGTAGAAAGAAGATATTTCAGTTAGAAACAAATGTCAATTTTGAGTACTTTGTCAAACAACAGAGAAGTGGTGTAAGATATCATCCTTAGCTCTTACTATCCATCCTCTTCTTTTCCACAGCATCAACACAGTAATATATGCATGTTACATTTGTTATCTCTGTACAAAGCCCAGCATCTCAGCTTCAAAATAATATGTTTTAACTGTTGGACTTGCAAATGAAGCAGCCAAGGCTTTTCACACATCCCATTACATGCTAGTAATCTTTGGCAAAAGGATCAAACAAACTCGTAGAGACAGTGAGCTATTCAGCTGCAAGCATGAGTGGTCAATACTATGAACAGAAACAATAAATATTAAAATTTAAACATATTTATTTGTATGATCTTAAGTTCCAACAACATTTTAAATCTAATAGAATACTGTTGTAGGCAGAGCATCCTTATGGATATACATGTATATAGAAAGGAACGTTCCAAACTTGTCACATTTATTTCAGTGCAAAACACAACACTGCTCCGCATCCTCTCCTGCGACATTTTCATTGCCTAGATTAAGGCTCATCATCTAAAAAAAATGGACTATGTTCTTATAAGAAAGGAAAATTCACATCCACATAGCCTCATTCAGAAAAAACACTAATGTCTTCAACTTTAGTTATTTTACACATATTTTCCCTTACCTGTGCACTTGAAGTAATATCTTCTCGTTGCTGATCTGTCATTACAGCAAGTGTATCAAAAGGATCTCTCTCACAAGGGTCCAGAAGGCCAGGACCACCTATAATAGTTAGGCTAATTAGTAGAACATCTATACCTTATTTTGACCAAGACTATATATTTTATATTACTTCAGCATAGAATCATAGAATCATAGAATCATAGAATATCCTGAGTTGGAAGGGACCCTTAAGGATCATCAAGTCCAACTCTTGACACCGCACAGGTCTACCCAAAAGTTCAGACCATGTGACTAAGTGCACAGTCCAATCTCTTCTTAAATTCAGACAGGCTCGGTGCAGTGACCACTTCCCTGGGGAGCCTGTTCCAGTGTGCAACCACCCTCTCTGTGAAGAACCCCCTCCTGATGTCAAGCCTAAATTTCCCCTGCCTCAGCTTAACCCCGTTCCCGCGGGTCCTGTCACTGGTGTTAATGGAGAAAAGGTCTCCTGCCTCTCGACACCCCCTTACGAGGAAGTTGTAGACTGCGATGAGGTCTCCCCTCAGCCTCCTCTTCTCCAGGCTGAACAGGCCCAGTGCCCTCAGCCGTTCCTCGTACGTCTTCCCCTCCAGGCCTTTCACCATCTTCATAAGATGAGCATAAGTACATTGATCAAATTCAACTCGCCTTTAAGGATGATTCCTGAAGATATACACTCAAAAACTCTTCTAAGCGCATCCCCAGGACTCTGTGGTCCAGTAGCACTGCTGATTGCTTTTTCCACGAGCAACTCCATAGCCTGTAACAACAACAACAAAATCCAGTTAATTCAGAAGACTGATTGAAACAGAAAAAAAAAACACACTACTGTTGTTCAATACAGAACTTTCCATAGAATGGTTTGGGTTGGAAAGGACCTTAAAGATCATCTAGTTCCAATCCCCCTGCCATAGGCAGGGATGCCACCCACTAAGACCAGGTTGCCCAGGGCCTTGTCCAACCTGGTCTTGAACACCTCCAGGGATGGGGAATCCACAACCTCACTGGACAACCTGTTCCAGTGCCTCACCACCCTCTGAGTGAAGAATTTCCTCCTAACCTCTAATATAAATCTCCCCTCTTTTAGTTTTAAACCATTCCCCATCGTCCTGTCATTATCCAACTGAGCAAAGAGTTGCTCTCCATCTTTTTTATAAGACCCCTTCAAGTACTGAAAGGTTGCAACGAGGTCACCCTGGAGCCTTCTCTTCTGTAGGCTGAACAGCCCCAGCTCTCAGCCTTTTTTCATAGGAGAGGTGTTCCAGCCCTCTGATCATCTCTGTGGCCCTCCTCTGGACCCACTCTAACAGATCAACATCCTTCTTTTGATGGGGGCTCCAGACCTGGATGCAGTACTCCAAGAGGGGCCTCACAAGGGCAGAGAAGAGGGGGACAATCCCCTCCCTCAACCTGCTGGCCACTCCTCTGTTTATGCAGCCCAGGATGCAGTTGGCCTTCTGGGCTGCAAGCATGCACTGCTGGCTCATGTTGAGCCTTTCGTCTACCAGAACCCCCAAGTCCTTCTCTGCAGGGCTGCTCTCAATGGGTTCTTCTCCCAGTCTGTACTCATGTCTGGGATTGCCCTGACCCAGGTGCAGCATCCTGCAACTTGGCCTTGTTGAACCTCATTAGGTTCACTCAACAACTTTTGACGTAGAAATTTTGAAGAACATCACAGAACAATTTCAGTTAAAATGGAAAAAAAAAAAAAAAGCATATTTTGTAAAAGTGCATAAAAAAGACTGGTGCAAGATTAACACTGGGTACCAATACAGACATGCCTCTTCTCATCACAGATTGCCCAAAAGTTGTTTTTTTTTTATAAAATTATTATTATACATTAGTAACTATACATGTGCAGATAGCCAATTTGTCCAACAATTTATTGGGAACGCATGAAAAATGATGGGTTATCTAAACGTGGCAGCCAGATGAATAAACAGCACACAGTGTATCGAATAAGAGTAAAAGAATATGACAAAAAATCTATTGTTTTTTCTATAAGAACACCAACTCAAATCATCAAAAATATAATGGTCTTTTGTTTGAAGTTTAGTTTAAATGGTTACTAGTTCCTCAGATGAACAAAACTGAAGCTCACGTGTTTTTTTCCTGGACTTAGCCTAACACTAACTCAGATGATAAACAAGCGTAAAAAAAATCTTACCAATCAACAGATTTTCAAAAATGTACACACCAAAAAATTTTAAATGACAGTTTAAAAAGGTGTCTTTTAAATACTATTTTTTCCTCTGTGACTATTTCCATTGTTTCCTTTTATTAGACGTTTTTTCAATAGACTGTAAAAAAAGATTTGCAATAGTAAGGAATAGCTTTCCTTAGCTGTTTCAGCATTAAGATGTTTCACTACCACTTCATTTGCAAGTTTCATTTTCAAACAATGTCTTTTTTTCCCCCTTCCTCTGAATTTACACTTTTTCAAACGTTGTCTTTTATTTTCACTAAGAGTAAATGCCTATTCTGATGCATGCAGTAACTATAGGCAGTGTTGATTACAATTCTTCATTAAGGGCGCTCATTCCTAGCCCAGGACAATGACCTGGTGTTTGTGTGCATGAAAGGCTGGATTTCATGTCAGAAAAATCAACCTTGAATAATCATTACTTCCAACTTGTAGGAAATTGACAAAATTCTTCCAATTTATTTTTTATTTTTAGGTATATAGGGAGGTCACTACTAATTGTGTTTAAACTTCCTACTATTTTCTATTATTACAAACACTTAGGCTCTTTTTGAAAAGCTCCTTGGTTTGTGACAGGCTTCTAGCATACAGGTCAAGAGAAGTTCTATATTCAGAAAAGTCTGTTTCTTCTATCTGAAATTCCACCTGTGACTAGCAGAAATTACAGATATTTAAAATCACAAATTTTCATTCTGTCACTGCTTTTGTCAAGTAAGACTTTGCCAATAGACCAGAAGAACAACTGACTACACAGACTTCAGTGCTGATCCATGTCACTGACAATGCATCCCAGCATTGTCAAAAATCAATTCAGCAAACCAGAGAGCACTCTTGTAGAGAGCAGAGATGCAGCTAGACTTGACACACACCTCTATTCCCTTTCAGATGTGCCTTAGAACAGACAATGTGACAAAGAAGAAACAACGTTCTTTATTCTTCATCTTCATGTGTGTTGCAGGAGTTATAATGGTGCTTTCCTGCAAGCACTCCAGTTTTTATTCTTTGGCATTTCAGCATCACAGTGATAATTAAGAGGACAGTTACACACTTTTCTAGCTTCTTTTAAGTTTTATTTATACAGTGCATCTTTCAGAAATGTAGCACAGAAACTGGCAGGATATATATTTCTATTAATACTTTAAAAACATATATAACCTTTTCTACATTTTTCCAGAAATAATATTATCAGAACTAATTTAATAAAATCATATGTAAGCCTAACACATTTCTCATTCAAAGAATGCCAACTTAGTGCTCTTCTTGTCAAAACCAAAAAGTTTACACTGGGAAGCAGCATAGTGCAACAGGATTGGGTTTGTGAAACAAAATGGTCAGTTTATCTACATACATTTCTGAAATTTTCTTTCAGACTAATTTTGGCTGGTCCACAGATTGGAAAACAAATTACATTCCTGAAGAGCATCTTTTAAAACAGTCAATGCAAAAGAAATGTTTGAAGAATGCTCAGCTGCAGGAATTATCAGAAGTAAACAGGTTGAACCTAGAGATCTTTTTCTAAGTGACACTGATTAAAGATACTAATTTTGACACATCCACTGACTAGTACTGTGGTATTTCATCTTGGAGAAGGGTCACATTAACAATCACAGGAATTACTGTGATTTGTTCTTTTACTTTAAGTAACCTTTCTGTTATCACAGAGGTATCTGGGCACAGCTGACATCACTTTAAATCAATTTCAGTAAAATCCAAGGAATTTCTAACCACCAGTAGGTGGTAAAAAAAAAAAAAAAAAAAATATTTCTTTATATACAGTTTTAAAAAAACAACACCTAAAATCTAGAATAAGGATGCTAAGCACAAAGAACTCAAAAGAACAAGAAAATTCTTTTGGAAAAAAAAATCCAGCTCCAAATGACTAAATTTCAGAAAATTAAGTTTTTAGAGGGACTCTCTACCTGTAAATACAAGCACAAAAAGCATATTACTTCTTGAAAAAGTCTACGTTTAACTGCAGTAACACTTTCCAGTGCCCTACTTGTAGTACCATGTGTATTGAAAAGACTCATTCAAAAAGAGTATTACTCACCCAGCTTGGGAAATCAGACCAGGTTGGAACACGGTGACAGAGGTCACGAAGAATACGTATGATAATCACACAGGACTGCAGACCATTAGCTCTAGCCTTGAGAGCAAAACAAAATCAAATTAATCAATCCCAGCACCTACAGCAAATAGGCCTTGTTGAAAGACTAAAACACCACTGTTCAATGGAAGCTCAGATACAAGACTGATACAAATCATCCAAGTTTATTCAGTGAGCTGCCATTTACAGCAGTATTTTATACAGGATTAGTAATTTAAGGTTGTAAAAGTCAAAGTGTGCAGGTTATACAAGAATAACATTTCTTGATCCCCTGTACACTTTGACCTATGTTCACTTATAACAATAAATACAGTATCTTTCTATATTAGAAATATAAAGGATAAAGTAAAGGTCTAAGAAATAGGTATAGAGACTGAAAGGTCAAGGGAATCTGTTTGGTTTCTTTATTGTGCCTTTGCCAGAATGCAAAGTCACTAAACCAAGCAGTTGTTTCTCACCTTTCATTCCCTACACTTAATGCACTTAAAGAAATGGGAAAAAAGTCTTAAATCTAAACACAAAGCTTTAAACACATATTCCATCATTTAAAGCAAAGTTACTCTGCAGCCTTATGGAATATATAACAAATATACAACGTATGATCACCCCAAGCGAGTCAAACTTTCAACATCGCCTTCTCAATGACCAGAAAAAAAAATCATGTCAAACGAGCAATTAACTGCATAAAGCAGTTCCTCCATACTCAACTTTCTACATTTAAATTTAGGGACCAGAAAAGTAATAAGTATTATTAGCATGAACAACGCTGAGTGTTTTCACACAATTAAACATTTATATTGCAACTGAACTAATCTCTCATAAGGCTACAAGAAGAAAGTAAAATGATGTTCCGAACCTGGAACCACTTAGCGTGGCGTAGAGCAGCCAGAGCGTCAAGGCATTTTTGCCTGTCCAAGACGTCCGGTGGGTCTTTCACCATACCCGAGGTTACATCTAAAATGGATTGAATTGGCAAAATGCAGTGAGGAATGGGTGTTTGACCAGGTGAGCAAGACAGTTCCTGAAAGTAGCTTCAATGTCACACATGCCATTTTAAAGTTTAAACCTTTGAACAACAAGTGAAAATGTTCCATACAAGGTATTCAATTAGGATTAGTGTACCAACCCAGCATGAAGATCAAGAGCATAATAAACTTTATTTAGCTCTCAGGTTATTTTCAAATGCATTGCAGATTATGCAATGCTTAGTGCTTCTTTATTTAAGCTACCACTGGAAAAATACATATCTGCTAAAATTAAATAGGGAAGGAAGGATGGTTGGACACAGTGCACCAGCACAGAGAACACAAGACAGAAGGAACACAAAAATCCACTTTAACCAAGTAGTAATATTAAATCTTAGTTTCTTGCATATTTTAACTGCTACCTGTTATTTGGGACCTAGTCCTCAAAAAAAGTATAACAAATCTCAAAAGCACTAGATGCTTAGTAATTATGTTATTTTTATTATACCTTAACCTTAGAATGCAATGATTTTGCTTTAAAAGCTAATTAAAGGAATCTGAAATGCTCTTCAATATTACTGAGTTCCACTACCTTCTAGTATCCCCTCTTACTCAAATTCCTCAACCCATAATATATGTGCTCCAATATAACTTTGGATGTAAAGAAAGATCTGAAAGGGGACTGCTTTACTTAAGATTCAGCAGGAAAAAGAAAAGCAAGGAATAGTATAAAAAAAAAACAAAAGCAGAATGTCTGAAAGAAAATATAGAAGATCTCATATATTAAATATTCAGAAAATTATTTAAGTTACCAAGCTGATTGCTTTGTTAGCTAAATAGAATAGACCACAAGATCATTTTAGAATTGGTTTAATCAACAAAACAGGAACCACTGAACAATCTGAAATGGTATTTTCAGGTTACTTAAAATTATAAGGATATAATGCAGTAATCAGCTTTAACATACCTTTATTTTATTATTTATGAATTATTGTGACTAGCAACACAAAAAAACGGTAGCATGACTGGTAATATACCAGATAAGAAAAAACGAAAAGCCACCTCTCAATGGTAGTTATTTCACAGCAATTGACTGTGAAACTGTATGGTTTATTGCAGCAAGATACAAATTTAGGTTAAGTCAGAGAACCAAATTAAAAAAAACGGAGAGACATGAAACAGGCCAACATAGAGAAAATTTTAGGGATGCTGCAAAGACAGCTCTGAAGCTGCCATATACATATACAAATATATAATGAACAGTAGGGTACTTTTTATTATACTGAGAGCAAAAAAGCTGTAAATGAGCACAGTGCTACAATTTTCCAGTATTATAACTGAATTTAATCTAAGGTACTAGATTTAGGCATTTTTATATGATATTCTTATTGCTCTGCACAGGGTTAAAAAGAGAAGGTTTTCAAAATAAGAACCTAGTTGCAAAGAATATGGTTATCTTCTCTCAAAGATATTCAGACTTATGGACCATATGTTAAAGTGGAAAGAAGAAACTAACAAAGCATTTACAGAGCAAATGAAGACATTTAAATTGGTTCATTTAAAACAAAATCAAAAAACTCCAAAAAAAAACAACAAACAACAAAAAGAAGTCAGCACAAACCAATACAAGAAAGATGCATTGCAAATTTTTATCACAATAATTCACTACGTAATTTAAAACTTTGATTACTTGACTTCTAGGTCTCAAAAACTTCAATTTGGAAAATAATTTTACTAAATCTACTACACTGCAAACACACAGAAGTGCACTTAGTGCTGGAAATGTCAATCTAAAGTGTACTACTACTAACAGAAATCATATGAATACCCTTGAAACTAAAAAACAAAACGGAATTAATTTACAAAACACAATCATGAATTCTCACCCTACATACTTATTACTAGCCTAAATATAAGGGGGTAATCTTTGGTTATACATGCTGTGTCCACACTACTTCTTCATTAAAAGTTAACAGGTATATTAATTTTGGTAAGCTTTATTATGCAAAATACATATTACCCAGTCAACTATTTCAAAACTAGTGTGAACACTGCTTAATTCTAAGAGAAAGACAGAGATTAAAAGGAAAAAAAAAAAGCCAAACAAAGAAACAGGAGATGCTAGGACAGCCAAACTCCCCTCCTTTATAAAGTATAGCAGGTGTGACACTGAGCTTTAGAAAACCTTGGTCAAAAATCCTTCCGATGTCTTGGCAGCAACCCCTGACAGGAATCAAGTCCCTCTGCTAGAAGGCTTTGGACCGGGGCTGTTAGCTAAGGATAGAAAAAACACATGCGCACACATATGCGTTTATACATATGTACACTTTGTTTGCTGAAGGAAAGATTCCACAGCAGGAGTTAGATCACTTTGAACATATCAGATTTGGGAAACTGTCAAATGCACAACACTGTAAGGAACAGTAGCTATGCGGTTAACAATTTTATTTCACACTATTTGTGTTTTCTTTTAGCCCTTTAATCATGTAACTGTATTATTACACATCAAACACAATTCTGCAAGTTTCAGTCTCATCTTTATTCAAACCAGTTCTTCCGGTAAAGCCTTCCTTATCACCTGAACTAGTTCCCCAAGCAAGCTAAAAAAAAACCAACTTTAAACCATTGTAAGACACGGAGCATGAGAAGCTGCAGCAAGAAAAAACACACACACATATACTTGTTAACTCTACAGCAAATAAGAAGCAGTCTTCATAATAAGGCCATCTTTGCTGCAATAATTTGCAATTGAGTCTTGTATTTTCTTGTTTTGAGAGCAAACTACTGCAGATCCATTTTACAATGCTCAGTGTTTTGAAGAGAAATCTACTGAATTGACTTGCCTAGAGGCAGTACTGTATTCAGTAGTGAATAAACTCATAACGATCATTTTAACTCAAGTGTGGGTCAGACAAAAAAACATTTGTTTCCTTTAGGAGGCATAAATTAAAGGATTGATTGTAGGCATTTTAAATCTATTTTTAGTCCACTTCATAAAATTTTAGGCCAGAAACAATTCCATTGAAATTGTAGCAGGAATCAATACTGCACTTTTGTACAGTACATTAAAATTAACATAGTGTTTCAGGTTAACTTCTTTTAATGATTAATCTAATTTAATAATCAAAGGTTTTAAGTGAAAGTATTCTTTATGGACTTAAGCAATATACAAAGTCTGATTCAGCACAAACAAACCAAGATTCATGTAACACTTAAGACTGCAAAAAAACAAGTAGTATTGGTTGGGTGTGACAGTAAATGTACAAAGCATTTATAGCTAGGTATGATGTGCACAGCTTAAAAATCATGTACAAAGCACTCAAATACTCTTCAGAAGTCATCCAAACTACAGAATGAATCTTGAATTTATTCTGATTACATACGGTGACTGTGTTAACAAAGTTTGCTTTTGATGCACTAGTCACAGCTACAGAACATTTAGTAATGCAGTATAAAACCTCATGTATTTTAGAGGACATGTAATGATGAGATGAAATAAAAAGCTGTGGCTTATATAAATATGTATATACACAAGCACATGCATACATAAACACAATTTTTTTAAACCTGCATGAAAAATGTTAAGATAACCTGATTTCTTATTTGTAGGTTCATTATAATACACCAGAACACTGTTTGCCATTGTGGGAATAGAAATGTGGTTTTTGCAGAGAGTTACATTGTTCAGAGGAAAGGAATGTGGTATTGAGATATGCTTGCAGTGATAAGAAAGCTTGGCAGACTACCTTGTAAAATGCAGACAACCAGACTCCTTAGAGAGTTTCTCAAAATTTGGGGGCTCGTCCAGGATCCAGTCACCTACTGGGGAGCCCCACCACCGCAGCAGCAGGAAGGCATGCCCCGCTGATTTCAGCGGTCCTGTGCATGGACGGTGGCGGTTGGGTGGAGAGCTGACAGAGGGCCCGAGACTGGTTAAAGAGGCAGGATCTGTGAAGTAGTGGGGAAAGGAAGAAGGTAGGCACTCCAGGTTTTAAGAATTGATCCGGTTACTGGGCACAGACCAAGGTAAGAAATATTAAGTATTGCCTTGAGGGTCGGGTGAGATGCTGTGTGATGTGTAATTCAGATGTACTTTTGTACGAACCCAGTGTGGAGTCCTGATCCGCAGTTCCATAGCTCCGCGAGGGGGGTGGCCGGAGACGGATGAAGGGTGAGATAAGGGAGAGAAAGGAAGAGTCTAGGGAAATTTGGTGTGCGGCAAATCCTTGCACGGGGAAGTACTTGGCAGTACACCCCCATTTTTCAGAATCGGAACATTAGTGTGTGGTACCCTGCAGGAGGGAAATTTCTGTAGCAGCACACTGACAAGGGCTAGGAAAAAGGGGAAATATGAGTTCCAGGGGACAGGGAGATATCCCTGGAGGAGTGCCTACCGACAGTTCTTCCTGAAGAATGATAAGCAATTGGAAAAATAATCCCAAAATTAGAGGAGATGATAAAAGAAAGAAAAAAAAAGGTTAAATATTGTGTATCAGTCTGGACAAAAGAACCAATTAAGGAAACAGCAGTATTTTGGCCAAAATACAGGTCTGATGAAAATTCAGGCTTTAAATTTATGTGTAAACAATAAGATTCCTTTTTCGGAGAAGGAGCCAAGTTATGCTCCCTATAATCCTAATATTGTACCCGTGGCAGCAGCAGTCACTCCAGGAAGGGAGACAGGGACTGTAATTAACACTGTCCCTAAAAGAAGGATCGTACTCTAGGCTCTGGCAAGAATTAGAACAAGGTAGAAGAGATATGGAGAATTTTGCCTTCCCTGATACCAACAGTACTAACACTAACTGTGTTGGGAGGACCCCAACAGCCTAGTTGAACAATTAGACCAGTTCCTACGACCTGATTTATACTCTTGGGGGAGGGAATTATGTCTATAAGTATGTTGTTTACAGGGAAAGAAATGGGAATGATCAGGAGGAGAGCTGCTATACAAGAATGGGAAAGAGCTCATCCTCCAGGACCAGGGGT